GCCATTCTGCAGCCAGAATGATGTTTCTAAAATGAAAATCATACAATCACATAAACACCCCTATTTAAAGCTTTTCAACAGCTTCTCACTGCATGCAGAACAATTCAGACTCTTCCATAAGGCTTACATAGTCCCTCAGGAGATGGTTTCTACTTACCCATCTCACCTCATCTCTCACCACTCTCACAAAACGCATCCCCCACCCCTAGTTCATGTGCTAACCTCTTGAACAAACTATTTGTTAGGTATCTGACATAAAATGTTCTCTTCTCTTTGGCCTTCATAAATATTCTCTCTGTTTGGAATACCTTTCTCATGCCCACTATTTTTCCCCTCTCCCCAATTTTCCTGGCTAATCCTTGTCCATTATATCTCAATTTTTTAAATGATGCAAGTGACTAATGAGAACATTCAACTTCTACCTTATCAAGTCCAGAATTAGGTTTCCTTCTATATGCTCCCACAGTACCCTAAATTATCCCCATCCAGGCATTCATCATACCATATCATAAGCATACAAGTACCCTAAGGGCAAGAGCAGTGTTATTTATTACTGCATCCTTAGTACCTAACTAATGGTTGGCACATATTAAATAGTTAATGTCTATTTAACGAATTGATGTTTTAAATCAGAACCAATTAAAAAATAAGGTGAGATATGGCAAAAGCAGACTATCACATGAAATTAGGTATCAATAATATAAGTAAAACTGGAAAATTTCAAATTTTGCAGAAATTAAACAACAGTCTTTACCAACCAATGGATCAAAAAAGAAATCACAGGGAAAATTAGAAAATATTTAAAGACAAATGAAAACAAAAACACAAAACTTATGGGACACAGTGAAAGCAGTGCTAACAGAGAAATGTATAGTTATAATGCTTATATTAAAAAACAAGATCTCAGATCAACAACCTAACTTTACAACTTAAGAAACTAGAAAAATAAGAACAAACTTAACCCAAAGCTAGCAGAAGAAAGGAAGTATTAAAGCAGAGGTAAATTAGAGAATAGAAAAACAGTAAGAGAAAATTAATAAAACCAAGTTATTTATTTGTAAAGAATTTTTGTCAACAAAATTGTCAATCTTTTAGCTAGATGGACTTAGGAAAAAAGAAGATTCAAATTACTAACATCAGAAATGAAAGTGGGGACACCACTACCAATTCTACAGAAATATAAAGCATTATAAGAGAGTTCTATGAAAAATTGTACACTGATAAACTGAATAATCTAGATGAAATGGGCAAATTCCTAAAAACACAAAACCTACCAAGACTAAGAAAAAACCAGAAAATCTGAATAGACCTATAACTACCAAGGACACTGAATCAGTAGTCAAAAGTTTCCCGACAAAAGAAAAGCCCTGGGCCTAATGGCTTTACTGGAGACTTCTATCAAATGCTTAAAGAACTAATACAAATTCCTCTCAAACTTCAAGAAAACTGAAGAGAAAATAACACTTCCTATCTCATTCTATGAGGCCAGCATTGTCCTTTTACCAAAATCAGAAAAAAGACACTACAAAAAAAGAAAACTACAGACTAATATCACTTATGAACACTGATGCAAAAATCCTCAACAAAATACTAGCAAACAGAATTCAGCAGCATACTAAAATGATTACACACCATGACTAAGTAGGATTTATTCCTGGAATGCAAGGATGTTCCAACATATGAATATCGACAAATGTAATATACCACACATTAAACCAAATAAAGGAAAAAAAATGATCATCTCAATTGATGCAGAAAAAACATGACAAAATTTAGTATTTTTCCCAAAAAGAAAACACTCAATAAACCAGAAATAGAAGGAAACTACCTTAACATAATAAAAGACACATTTGAAAAACCCACAGCAAACATACTCAATGGTGAAAGACTGCAAGCTTTTCCTTTATCAAAAAGGAGAATAAGGATGCCTACTTTCACCGCTTCTATTCAACTTAGGGGTACTTAAAGTTCTAGCTAGGGCAATTAGGCAAGAATAAGCAATGAAAGGAAGGTACACAAACTGGAAAGGAAGAAGTAAAATGAGAAAATTATCTTATATGAAAAACTGTACACCAACAAACTGAATAACCTAGATAAAATGGACATATTTCTAAAAAACACAAAACCCACCTACATTATCTTCTATTAGAAAATGCTAAAGATTCCACAAAAAAACTTGTTAGAGCTAATGAGTAAATTCAGCAAAGTAGCACGATGCAAAGCTAACACACAACTATCAGTTGCATTTCTATATACTAATAATGAACAATTTGAAAAGAAAATTACTAAAACAAGTCTAAGCATAAAATACTTAGGAGGTGAAAGACTTATACAATGAAAACTGCAAAAAAAAATGCTGAAAGAAATCAAAGACAACATAAATAAATGAGAACACAACCCACGTTCATGGATTGGAAGACAATATTGTTAAAATGTCAGTATTACCCAAAGTGATCTACAAATTCAATGCAATCTCTATCAAAGTACCAAAGACAGAAATAGAAAATTCCATCCTAAAATTCATATGGAATCTCAAGGGACCCAAAATTGCCAAAACAATCTTAAAAAGAAGAACAAAACTGGAAGACTCACACCTCCTGATATCAAAACTTACTACAAAGGTACAATAATCAAATAGTGTGTACTAGCGTAAAGACAGACATATATGTCAATGGAATAGAACAGAAAGCCCAGAAATGAACTTTTGTATGTATGGTCAAATGATTTTTGACAAGTGTGGCAAGACCATTCAATGGGGAATGGACAGTGTTTTCAACAAATGGTGCTAGGAATCTACATGCAGAAGAATGAAGTTGGACCCTTACCTAATACCATATGTAAAAATTAACTCAAAATAAATCAAGTACCTAAATGTAAGACCTAAAACAATAAAACTCTTAGAAGAAAGCAGGACAAAAGCTTCATAACATTGGATTGGGCAATGATTTCTTGTATATGACCCTAAAGGTACAGGCAACAAAAGAAAAAATAAATAAACTGGACTTCATAAAAATTTTTAAATTTTGTATACAGAAGACAACATAAGCAGAGTAAAAAGGCAACCCACAGAATAGGAGAAAATATTTGTAAATCATATATCACATATGCGATTAACACCTATCATACATAGAGAACTTCTAAAACTCAACAATAACAAAAAAGAATAACCCAATTAAAAAATAGACAAAGATATGTGGAAATCTAAAAAAAAAACT